GATCCGTGGCCATCCAAAAAGAACAAGACTAATTGGATTTTTTTCTCGATCAACCATGGGTGGAATATATTTGTAAAATATTCATAAAAAGTCTCTCTACACATCCACCCTGATTCTGATCTCCCGATCCACCACATAGCAGGTACGCTATCAGATATAGGTTTTGGCACACGCTCATAAACAAACACTATCATAATCTTTAAGAGCGGCCAACCCGTCTTAACTTTTCATACAAAAGCTTGTATGTGATTATGGCGTTGTAATAGGTCTTTCTTTGAAAATTTTAATATATAATATAATTAATAGGTATTTTGTGCACTATATCTAGGTTCCTATCTAAACAAAAAATCTAAATTTGTAGAAACAAATTCAGTATAAGCCTCCAAAAATCTGCTTTTTTGCATAAATTTTACCTGAACTTTGGTCGTTCATAATGTACTCACTAATAGTAAAAGTAAAGAAATTATTTTATAGAATCCTCGCCAATGTAATGGAGACTGACTAAATGACAAAAATTTATTTTACAAACTTGTGGGTTACTGAAAAACACGTATTTCCTGGAACAAGTTTTATGAAATTCCCGCACACTATTTTTCGTTCAATAATATCGTGTTCTCACTTGCTTATTAGCTAAGTGGCGGTAAGAGGTATGCGGGGGACAAGTCGTGCGGGGTAGGGGCGGGGTGAGACGGGGGAGTTGAATGACGAGCGCCGGTGGCGCACGCGTTCGGCTCTCTGGCCTCTCGGAATTGTTAGTAGGTATTCAATTTGTTGACTGCGCTTCGTCAATGTGCCGTTGCATTTTATATTTAGTGACATCTGTTTTACCTACTACAACGATCTTTTTTTTTATACCGGACACTGATTTTGCTAGCGAAGGTTTAGCTATTTTATTATGTGAAACGAACCTGGCATTTGTGAATACGGACACAGACTTTGTTTGGATAAGGATTTTGAAGCAGATCGATTTTATTACTATTGAGAATGAGAATATTACTATTGTTATTAGATAATAATATGTTTTTTTACTAAATTTTCAATCACTTCTGACAGTAAACTCTTTGTGTTCGGAAATCGGAATCGTCTCGACAACCGGGTTGTTTTATGTATTGTTCATAAAGTGTAACAAAGTTCTTTAGAATAAAAATATATATTTATACCCAACTCTATTTAGACTACTTTATTTGTGATCAACCACCTGTACTACGGTACAAATTAGTACCTAAACAACATTTGGAGACATTTACATACGGTACAAGTAGGTACGTTACCTAATTTCAGCTTCCTAAATACAAACGGCCTAGACAGGTAAAGAGTTTATTCTGTTTATACCGCTACTCCATAAGCAGAATAAATTATTTACCTTTACATTTTCGTGCTCTGTTTAGGTATAAAATGGACGAACAATATAAGTTGGATAGAACACCCTGCTAAAACAAAACTGAGTCCAGTTCATGTCTGAGTATTGATGTTTGCGCGTGTAACGCCCGACTAATATGTTGTGAATGTTTGCGTGCCGGGCTTGTACGCACGACGACAAATCAAGGTAAAATAACCAGTTTATGCGGTACTCTTATTGTACGGGAAATTGAAACAAAGCGAGGCCATGTTATACTGGAAATGTATAGCTTGATGTGTCGCCGAGTGTACTTACACACACGAATTGGCCGACTCTGAGTGACAGTTATTTTTATTTGCGACATATTATTTTTTACATGGAAAATTATTTATAACATTATAAAATTATTTATAACATAAATAATTTCTTTAATATATTATATTTATAATTATAACATAAATAATTTCCATGTCAAAAATAGCGCACGTACGATACCTAGTTTGGTAAAAAACAACACACACATATCTCCGAGGCCAAGTGGCACGTCTATACTAGACAAAGAGTAATATAATAAAATAATATGGTACCTACTAAATGTAGGCATGCAGAGAAATTTACAAAACTATAGCTATGCGCCATAGTAGCGAGCCCGTAAGTTACCGAATGCCAACCGAACGCTCAGGCGCTGTCTTTCTCTTTTCGCTTTGCCTCTTTTTCTAACATTGCGCTGGATGAAACAACAAGCTTTTTAACCATGCTCGCATTGACGATAGACGGGCCGGGAAGGGCCCTCTTAACCAACAAATTTTATAAAAAAATTCAAAAATTTTATATTTGACTAGAAGCATTTGCAGTTAGTAAAACAGTCAAGTTTTCTTTCTCATTACCAGATGCGGTATACACAGTCTAACCATCCCGTCTTACTAAGACACGACCAGATTTCGGTGAAAAGAAATGCACTTTCATCTGCATTAAATATCCTGCTAGGTTGTTTCAGCAAATGCTCAAGGTTTTGCTCCTGAAGGTAATTTTTGATCTCAGTAAACCAAGATTTGATTTGTTGTTCAGTGACATTATCTCGTGATGTTATTAGATTTTGTGCACTTCGTTCCGAAATCTCAGGATGTCTTTTAAGAAATGCTTGGTACCACGTCTTTCCAGGGCGATTGTTAGTAAAAGGTGTTTTCCTTTTGTTCTTAATTATTATTTGTTGGACACTGTCCAATAACTGTTCTCGTGAAATAGGAAAATGTCGATCTGCTAGTACAAAAATCCATTGTACTAATATCTGCTCTTCTTGAACCGTAAGAATCGTTGCTGGGCCCATTGAACAAACGGCAGGGCTTATCCCCGTTACCTTATTTCTAAGCGTGATACGAGGTACACCATATTTAGATGCTGCTGCACTCACTGCTTCTTCTCTCTTGACCGCCTCTATGGCACGACGCATTTGTTCTGGCGTATAATGTTTTGTGGGCAGCATGGCTAGTAACGAAAACAACAAAATTAGAATTTTATTTGAAATCCATTAATGAACAACCAATGTTGGACATCCATGTCCATGACTGGATTGGGTCCACGTAACAGTACCATAAATAGAATGTACCCAAAAGACGGTACAACAAACATAAAACGAAGGCAATTGCTATAAAAACATAGATACTCAATCATGGACATTTTGTCCATAACTAGTTCTAGTTGAAAATCGATATCCAGTTATGAACATTCACATTTAACAAAATATACAAGCACCTTTAAATAGTTTTAGGTTAATTTCGTACCTACAATATTTCTATGAAATAAACTATCCAATATAGTAATGAATTATTCTAAAGATTTTCCAGAAATATCTCAAAATATCTACTCACCTCACTAATGAATTCCGTTAGAAATAATCAAATTGGGAAATCACTCTGCACAGTGCTATTTAATCTGTGACAATTTTGCAACGAAATGTCAGAATAAATCGAAATCGCGACAGTTGACAGCTTGACATAATTAGTTTATAGTTCAATGTTACCATTATGAAAATATGTTAAATTATTCTTATTTTTTTCATTTTTCTAAGCGTGTGTCCATTACTGGGGTATAGTCCATTACTGGTGACATTACCTTACGGTGCCACAGGCATAACTCCCCTCTTTTTACATCGGGGATTAAAAAAATACTATCTGTTTCTCTTTTGGAACAGTTTTGTAAAGATAAAAAAGCTATTTTTTATTGCCCTTTGTTTATAGGGTTATAACTTATAAGTGAGACCTGAATTAAAATGCACTCCAATAAAATGAGATTTTATGTACCTGAAAACTTATGGTTTAAGAATAAATATATATACTTTTATGAATACTTCATTAGATTCTCATTCGCCACCACTACACGGCCAAGAAATAAAAATAGCGGTTATGAATGCAATAAGTGTCATAAAATCATTTCTACAATATTAATTTCACAGTAATTTTAAATTGAAGATTTTCTACATTCATTTCAGAAGCTCCGTCGTTTCAATTATTTCATCCTCCACCTAAAAAAGGAAAAATATTTTTTATGAATATGACAATGACAATTTGTAATATATATATACATACATGTTAAATGTAACATAAAAGTAACATTCAGTATTTCATGCCGGCACACCGTTTGCAACTTTACAAGACGCGGGTTCGGTCTCATAAGGAATACTGTTTTCATCTCTGGGCCGAGGCTCCTCAGTGCTAGCTCCTTCTACATGACTGCAACTATTGTAGACGACCGAGTTCTTTCTACAATAGATACTAGACTTAAACAGCGACAAGCTTCTCCAAATTCACACAAACCAAGCTCCAAGTTCACCCCAGTTTACACGCTTGTGCTTGTGGACGCTTGCCGAGACTTGGCATGCGTGTAAAAAAACCCGGCATTAGAGTTCACTGCAATTTAATCTTCTACTCGTAACGATGAATTAATTCATGATTAAATTTATACACTTACATAATGTCTGACTAAAATCTTGTCATAATTTACAACCTAATAGGTGCCGCCTTCTTACAAGGCGTGGTTTATGAAAATCTCGGGCTTGAACTTTGAACTATGGTTAAGAAAATTCTTTTTCACGAAAGTTCTCCGCGGTGCCACTATTTTCTCGTATAGAATTAGGGACAAACGAGCACACAGTCCATCTGATGGTATGTAGATGCTGTGGCCGATAGACATTTACATTTATCCTCGATTAAGAATCAAAGTGCAGATGCGTTATCACCCTGAGGATTAAGATGGAATGCGTCGTTTCCAGTAAAAAGGGTCTCCGGTTTTCAACACTAACCATTCGGAACACAGCAGTATTAAGCTACTATTTGACGCTGTTATTGTGTGAGTAATGAACGAAACCCATGTCTTACACCTCTCTAAGGTGTAAGACAAATGGATGGGTCAATCATTATATGTTATTAATTGACTAAAGTACATAGTACAGTAATTCAAAAAGATAAAAAAGTACAGACAGATTAGACTAGATATTTCTATTAAATATAATTTTTATTTTACCTACATACAATAACCATACTAGATATCGATAAAACGCTCTCATTTTGCTAAGAACAATACTACCACAACTATTAATACAACTACCTACATACAAAAAAGTAGGTAGATACCATATTTTGAAATGTAAAAGTTACATCATCGATTAATTCTGAAGAGAACGCAATAAGGAAGTGGCGTCTCTTTTCTTAGCAGCGGCCTCTTCCAGTCTTTTTCTTTCTTCTTCTAACTTGTAAGCTATTTCGTATACGTTTCTTGGAGCTACCTGAGAGATTTAGGAAATCAAACGCAGTTTTACGATGCAATTGTAATAAGAATATTTTTTTTGGGTAAAGTATCGGTTCCATGGTAGGTTTGTGGTAGGTTATATTAGACAACCAGTGATCGTGTAATACCTGACCTCTACAAAAGGGCAAAATTATTACAAAATATTGTTACAGTTTTTCAGGTCTGAATATCTCTTCATTATCTTCTTAACGTTGTGTTACAATCTAACTAAAGCTTTGATGGGACACGGTTTTTTTAATAAAACATCTATTAACTCTAGGTGTCACAGATAATCCTCATGAGTCATGAAATAACGGCAGCCTACATTCTATTACTGCCTCAGATCACCGAGATCGCTCCCCAAGGTCACTGTAAACATTAAGAACTTAATAAGCATAGAATTCTTACCCTATCACGTAATAATTCTATGTTAATAAGGTTCCTCGAGGAGCGCAGTTGGCTTTCCTGCTCAAACGCATACGTTACGTGATACGATACGCGAAATTATGAATACCAGCCCGACTCAATCATGCAAATAATGGTCTACGACCTTTTTTTGCCTTAACTAGGGAATCGTAACAACTACAACAACATTTTGGTACGATGTTTTGGCGGGAACTTGACCGCTAAATTAACCTTAAAATTTTAATGCACTTTAGTAAGATAAATTAGACGCCCATTATACGCCTAGGCAAGCGTTAATCAGTTCGATCAATCATGATTGACGTTTGCATGATAGAATAATTTCGACATTACACGCTCATGCTGACTGATGTCAGTCAAACCCAAATTTTCGGAGAGAAAGGACCTACCTTTAAACTAAGTTCATTTTCGATTCACCATTTAACTGTAATTTAATATCTTGAAAAGAAAAAGAAAAAAAAACGAATAGGAAAAATTGTAATATTTAATATCATTTTACCCATTTTAATTTAACGCGCGCCAATGTTCGACCTCTTGGAGCGCATAATCGATACGCGACTTTATTTGAAACGCATTTATGGACGAAAAATAAGCTTACTATATACTATAAGTTATGATTTTTTCATTTATGTTCTTAAGTTATACTAAAATTAGTATTACTAAGTTGTTAATTACATTTATTGTTTGTTTTTGTCTTTCTCAAAAAATAATTAAATATTGTATGCTGTTCTTAATATATACCAAATGTCTGAAAAGCAAGTACGTATCATTTGCTAAACTTTTAAATCAAAAACCAATATTAAAATATAGACGAATTGATCATAACTTCCTTAACTATAAAATATGTTATGTTCTAATTAATGGTATTTATTCGCGTTTATGACAGCCCTATTACGTGGCTGAAATTAGGCACTTCTTATTATGTACGTCAAACCAAATAACAGCCGGGCAGCTAACATTAAGCACTCCATACATTTCGTATATCTAATTACAGCCCCATTAACTTCCACTAAAATAAAATAAAATAATTATAGATTTAAACATAAATTGCTGCATTACTATGTCTATAGTCACATTCATACAAATCAAAATTGAACTGGTAGTTCCAGAGATTAGCGTGTTTAAATAAACAAAAAAAAACAAACAAAATAACTCTTCCGCTTTATTATATTAGTATAGATTAAATGATTTTCTTTTTTTGTTTCTGTTTCCGATTTTGTTTTATAAATATTAAAGGTAATAACTATATAAAAAATAAAGCAGCCATTATATACTCCGTGTCCTCGTTTTTTATTTTACCAGCAAAACATTTTATAAAATATAAATAGGTAAATACGTAATTAAGTAGCTACCTATTTATATTTGATTTACATTATTTTGAAAAAGAAATAAATTCCGGGGAAATTGTAAATGGCATTAAATATTTTTCTCCAAAGGTCAAAAATATAACTTTCCGATCTGATTGATGGAGAAAATTTTTCCATTTTATCGGTAGACTTACCTCGCCTCTTCAGATATTATTGCAATTTTGTACATTTTGAATTAAAGTCCAACAAAAGGCAAGTGGTGCTGGTGAAAAAATTTCCACTACCCAATATCGTCTCATGTGTGTCATAAAAGGCGACAAAGGGAAACTGAAAGAGGCGATGGGCAGCAGCATCTTCCTGATAACAACTCGAAGTAATAAAAACTGTGGTGGACAACCCGCTGGCCAAGCGATAGCAAATATCCCCCCTATGAGGCAATCTATAGGGAGGCCCATGTTGAGTTGTGGATTTTTATAGGATGTAATGGATTATGGATGATGGAAAAGGCAGGTGGGTGCAGTTTATTCCCGGTAACATGTTATTTGAATATTTTTAGTTATTTTAAAACTATCATGGTAAAATTTAGTTAATTTTTAATAAAATAGTTTAGTGCACAAAAGTTATTCAGTTCTGTGCACTAAACTATTTTTTTAGTTTTTATACCGATTTCTGAACAAAAATTTTTCGATAGCCATTTTAAGTAAAATGTACATCACTAGCCAACTCACACAATAACAAATCAAAACTGGTCACGCGTTTTCGGGCTGCCAGGTCGTCTATACGCCAGTATATCCTAAGAATTCTATGATTATTACTATCATCTGATACAGAAAAGTGAAAATCTATAAAAACGAAAATCCCGAATGTAATGAAGACATGGCTTATAAGACAAGCATCTAAGCAAATAATCTTAATTAAAAATAGGTCAATGGTCCATAGGTATTTTTTATATAAATGCATTGGTCTGATGATGTCTGTAGTGTATGCAGTGTTACCAACCGTACGATTTAAATCGTATTCATACGATCTTTTGGCCCTAGTATGATGTACGATCATGTATTCGATATCGTACTAAAAATATGTGATCTTTTCAAAACTTATAATCTTTATAACAAAATAAAAAAATGATAATTGATTATGTTAATTTTATCGATATGACAAATCAATAATTTCAAAATGGAACGAGCTCTAAACTTCTTCTTTGTATTTTTTTATGAACGCATCCAATCCAATAATATTTTAAACTCGATTCCATTCGCACTTTAGAAATATGCAGCGTATTAGCATTTCTTATTAGTTTGTGGTATTATACTATTCCGTCAACTCGCTGCCAATTAAGGAATTCTTCGCTCACTTTAATCGCCTTTCTTCAAGTTTGTTTTACGTTATTCTATTCTTTCGAATCCAAATAATATTAGACTACGCAGATAATTATTATATTACATATTTTTGTAATAGACGGCATAGTGGATACAGTGGGCCCATTATTATTTAATAAAAAAAGTCGTAGGTCAGATTCTTAAATGTTGTATGGTATGGTATATCCTAAATGTAAATTTTGCTTTGACGTTATAATAATATTATTTTTGTAATTTTTACAATTTTTTTATTGAAATATTACTATATATTTTTTTTAGTTCTTAGCAGAATACGATCTTTTCCAGTTTATGGTACGATCTCCTAAAAATAAAGTTGGCAACCTTGGGTCTATGGTGTCCATTAGTCAATTGTCATTTGCTTTTACGTACATGATACGTAGTATCCACTAAGTAGTCTGTGCGTACATGGCTTGGGTTCTTTAGCATTATCTAATTCAGTCTAATTTCTATTACAATCGTGGAAATTAAATATATTGTTAAGTTTATTACTTTTTAGCTTATTTGACTGCCTGGTTATCTATTCAGATATTACGAAATTATCTGGAGTTTTCGCCAGTAACATGAACCGCAACATGAGGCGTGGACGTGGAGCTGGTGCCGGTGTTCAACGCGGACCTCTTGGGACTAATCATATTCGTGTATGTAAATTCATAATATGTGCTTAAGTTATATTATGTAGCCGTCTTGAAGTTAGCTGTTTGAATCCGCCAGTGATTGCCAATGTTTTATATGCGCGGCCAAACGGCCAATTTCAGCGTGACTCTACTGTTAATAGTCGTTCCTCTGTTACACTTAGCACTACTAGTTGCCCCCCACTGATAGGGCTAAGCATAACTTCACATACATTCATCATATAAAAACCGAATGCTCTCCTCAGTTACGTAGTTTTAACTATCACTGATACATCAAAAATGCACAAAGTTCCTAAATCAATAAGATTTTTATTTAAAAATAGGGTGACAAACGAGCACACAATCCTCCTGATGGTAGATGGATGCTGTGGTCCATAGATATCTACATTTATTGCTCAATTAAGGATCAAAATGCAGATGCGTTGTCACCCCTGAAGAAATGGAATATCCCATTTTCAGTAAAAAAAGCAGCTAAAATTTTCAGTTTAAACAGCAGCATTAAGCTACTATTTTACGCTGGTATTCTGTGAGTGTTGTCCTTCCTAGATCGAGCTGATCCATTCGTGCTGTGACCTTAATATAGCTGTAGGGTGTCTCTACCACATATAAATAAAAACAGCTCTTTTCTCATTTTAATAATTTTATAGATTCAAAATAAATTTTTTAAGTTTAAGAATGAAAAAAACCTAAGTTATTTTCACAATTATTTGTATCAATATTAATGTTGAAAGCTACAAAACTGCCTCCAACGAAACCTCTGAAATGCTTCAAAATTATGATACAACATTCTAAATTATGATAAAGAAGTGACATATCTATCTTTCAAAGACACTGTCAGGTTCATTTTATTTTAGTCTGGTTTCTAACTTTCAGTTATTGTTCTGAGGTTCAAGCACACAAAATTTAATTACCTTTATAGCCTATTAAAATTCACAATTGAAATAGGTCTCCACTATAGATGATAGCCTCATAGTGGGAATATTTGCCATGCTTAGTGAGTGTGTTGGTGACCGCAGTTTTGTATTTATAGATGTTATTGGGAAGATGCTACTGCCCATCTGAATTGTTTCCGTCTAGGGATGGGCAAATAAAAAAAATATTTGATATTTATCACATTGATATTCTTAAACAGTATTGATAATAATTATCACATGATAAATATTGATATATCATTATGTTTTACATGATATAGTAGGATGAGGGACAAAATTTATTACTGGATGTTTTGATGATGAAAGAAAAACAACAGTATGTGAATGCTTTTGTAGCTGCTTATGTTGCTTAATTTTGTCTAATAAATTATATTATCTATTACATTATAAAATAAATATAACATTTTAAAATATTTCGGAATTTATATGAATTCAATAATAAATATTGAATATTGATATATTGTGATTAAAAATATTGACGACAAATATCTGTAATTTTGTGTGTAAATATTGATATATCAATATTTTTTACCCAAGCTTATTTCCATCTGTTATCTCTTACGGTATCCAGTAGCTGGTATAGGGGTAGTGGATATTTTATACTGTCACTCCACAGTAATTTAATTTTTTTTAATAAATTTAATTAAAAATTAATTTAATTAAATAAAATTAATTAATAAACATGAATTTTCATTATTTTATCAATTGTAACTTGTAACATGCTTGTGGTCATGTTTTGTTAAAAATATAAATTAACTTCTACTCAGATTTGACAATGTGGCTCTATTGACTTTGTAACCAAAAAATTACATTCATTACATTTTAGTAAGTTGTAATCTTTATATAAAAATCAATTGCTGCCTGTTAGTCTCATTATAACTCAAAAACGGCTCAAACAATATTGATGAAATTTTTGTGTTTGTTTGAGTAGGTCTCTATATTATCTCTATATATATTTGATACCATTACAATGCATATTTTATTTTACTTTCATCTTTAAAATTTTATATTGCAGCTTATCAGATATATTTTATTTTTCCCTATACACAGCATCAAGTTAAATTTATATTCTCTTTAAAGCAACCTGATAGTTTAATATGTTCCCTTACAGTAATTCTTAAGGCATAATATATACAAAGTATTCCATCTGTGTAGCTATGTCGCATTTATTACACCCCTGTGGCCCACAGTGCCCAATGGCTCTCGAGTACCGACTCAATATTAAATATGAATCTGTACCCCTTTGTTCAAGATCTATATCAATAAATATATTTCATTTATCACGTGGTAGAGCCATGCTGCAGCTATATTACTGGTATAGTTGTAGCATGAATGGGTTGGCTCGACCGGGGAAGGACCACACTCTCACAGAATACCAGCGTAAAATAGCAGCATAATGTTGCTGTGTTTCGCATGGTGAGTGTAGAGAACCGGAGACCCTTCTTTACTGGAAATGAGACACTCCATCTTGGTCCTCACGGGTGACAACGCATCTGCATTTTGATTTGTAATCGAGGATAGATGTAGATGTCTATGGGCCACAGCAACCACTTACCAACATCAGGTGAACTGTGTGCTCGTTTGTCACCCTCAAAAAATTTGCTTCGACTTCATCTATTTTACGTAGTAAGCTTTTAAAACATTCAAATAAAAATACAATTGTGAGATAACATTATGTAATAACATATTAATTTATCACATAACGTAATATAAAATAAATCAAAAATTTTTAAAAATTGAACTTGTTATAAATAACAATACAATTTATTTTCATCAATAATTACATACCGTTCATTCTATCTACGTAGTAATATTATCCCGTTTGTCACGCGCTGAGGTTAAACCATTAACCATTTAGATTCCAAGTTCTTAAAAAAGTATTTGTCTTAATTTATGCTAGTAACTGGCTATTACTATTAGGTTTCATAATGGTTAAACAAAATGAGAAATATGTAAGAAAACTTCTTTAGGCATATTGGGCATATCTTTTGCGATGGAGAAAACGCACTGAACTGGCATGATCATCATTTTCAGATACAGATATACATATGTATATACAGGGTTATTTTGTAATAACGGGCCAAATTTGCAAAGAAGGTTCAGAATAAGTAATTAAGGCAAATGGTGAAGAAAAGTTAATTTAAAAAATCTCCAAACTTTCTGTCGTTTTCATCTTTTAAATTCAAAATGTGTGGTAGTGCATTATTTTAATAAATCTGATTTTACTGTGCATGCACACATTTGTAAGGGTCGATCGGTAGGCAAAAACGTTGTTGCCCATAAAGCACATTCAATTTGGGAATAATTGCACTTTTTTAGTTTAGTTTAGTTTACGACGGGCTGTTTTCCGCAACTCCACGTCTATGCGCGTATTTTGCGTGTGGGCAGGAATAATGTGATTATTCGAGCCATGAGATCTCTCCGAAGAAGCTCAACAGGCCCTTGATGTTGCATGCAACTTCAGAGAGTGATCCCGGCGTGCCGAGATGTTTAGCCCTGTATGTAGCGACCTCCGGACATTTCAGTAGCACGTGGGCCGCCGTTTCTTCCTCCCCCATACATGCCCTGCACAGGGGACTATCTGTAACACCTATAGTAAATAAATGTTTGTTAAAGGTGCCGTGTCCTGTGATAGCACTTGTTACTATCCTAATCTGCGGCTTGTTCAGTCTCATTAAAACTTTTGTTAAGCGACTGTTAATTTCAGGCAGGGCATCCCTAGCTTGTCTACAGTCTACTAGATTTTTCCAAAGCTGAGCGTGTTGATTAGTGAAGTGTCTACGTACCAGTGAACAAACGTTACCAAAGGGGATTGGTATGATTGGTTCCGGCCCTATAGTGGCCAAAGCCGATCCTCTTCTGGCCAGTTCGTCTGCTGCATCGTTGCCTCTGGATCCACTGTGTCCCTTTATCCATTGCAGGGTCACATTGTTGTTTTTACATACCTCATTTAATCGTTGATGGCATTCATATATTAGTCCCGAGTTCACCACATTGCATCTCAGGGCTTGGAGTACCGCCCTACTGTCGGTCAGTATTCTGATGGGGAAGTCATTAACCTTCCTAGCATCTATTGCAATGGCCGCTTGAATGATACCCATACATTCCGCCTGAAAGACCGTGTTATAGGTACCCAGCGGTGTGCATATGTGAATATTGAGGTCTTCAGAGAAAGCTCCACAACCTACACCTTCATTTGTTTTAGAACCATCGGTGAAAATTCTAAGCTCTTTTGGGCTTAATCCTTCCGGCTGGCTGTTTTCATTTAACTGTATCTTGTATTTCTTATCGAAAACAAATTGTTTAGGAATCCTATCGTATTTGGCTTGTAGGATAGGAATTTTTGAGTGAATTCTATCAATTATGCCTGTATGAGGGACACTATTCTTACTCCAAAGATTTAGGGTCTTGAGTCTGATGGCAGCTAAAGTCGCTTCTTGTTGTATATGTAGATGAAGCGGAGTTAGCTCCAGCATCGCTTCTAAGGCTGCTGTTGGCGTAGTTCTCATGCAGCCTGTAGCAGCCATACATGCCAGTCTCTGGTAGCGCTGAAGCTTTTTAATTATGGTGGCTTCATTTGTCTTGGTCCACCATACCAGAGCGCCGTATGTGATCATGGGCCGAATTACAGTTTTGTAAAGCCACAGTATGATTTTTGGCGTCAATCCCCATCTTTTGCCAATCATGTTTCTGCATTGCCAGAAAGTTATACTAGCTTTGTTGATTTTGTTTTCTATGTGTTTATTCCAGTTAAGTTTGCTGTCCAAGGTAAGACCTAAATATTTTACCTCAGAGGATAGCTGGAGTTTTGTGCTAAAAAGACTTGGAGGATGATAGTTATTCAGCTTTCGTTTTTGTGTGAACATAACTAAAACCGTTTTATTTGGATTGACGGTTAAGTCGTGTTCCCTGCACCATCTCTCCACTATACGGAGAGCCGCTTGGGTCAGGTCGCACACTATGCTTGCTGTCTTTCCAGAGACCAGTATTGTCAGGTCATCAGCATAACCTACTGTATAGAAGTGATTGTCATTTAATTTGCTGATGAGTTCATTAATGACCATATTCCACAGGAGAGGTGAGAGAACCCCACCCTGCGGGCAGCCTTTCTTAATTTGGATTGGTTGAGATTCACCAGCAATCTTTATTATTCGTGTACTGAGCATGTAAACTATCCAGTCGATCAGTGCCGGTTCAACTTTGTGTCTACCGAGTGCACCTTTTATGCTGGAGAAGTTCGTTCGGTCAAAAGCACCTTCTATATCTATGAAGGAACCTAGACATATTTCTTTGTTTTGGATGGCCTCTTCAATCTTTGTAATTACCTTATGAAGGGCCGATTCTGTTGATTTGCCTAGACTGTAGGCGTGTTGCTTGTCGTGTAGTGGTAAGTTCATTAGCGCCGACCCCCTTAATTCCCTTTCACACATCCTCTCCATCGTCTTTAGGAGAAAGGATGTGAGGCTAATGGGCCTGTAGGATTTAGGGTCAGTGTAGTTGCTCTTACCTGGTTTGGGTATGAATGTAACTTTCACTTCCCTCCATCCCCTAGGAACATATTTAAGAGCAAGACAGGCTCGCATTATGGCAGCAAGTCTGACTATTAGGGCTTTACCCCCCCACTGTAGGAGTGCCGGGAATATGCCGTCGGGTCCTGCCGTCTTATAGGGGAGGAAACTGTGAATGGCCCAATGGATTTTGTCCATCGTTACCACTCTCTGTGCTAAATTCCAGTCTTCTGCTGTTGTTGTCAGTATGTCGTCATGCCGGTTTGCCTCCTGGGTTACGCAGCAACCTGGGAAGTGCGTTTCAATTAGGATGCGTTGGGCTTCATCCGGCGATGTTGAGTAGCTACCGTCGGGTTTCTTTAGAGACATGGATCCTGACGTGTTCTGTTTAGCTAGAATATTCCTAATCCTATTTGCTTGTTTGCAGGTTTCTATGTTGCCACAGAATTTACGCCACCCAATCGAGCGTCGATACCTGATACATTTTTTGTATTCAGACTTAGCTTTCTTATATAATAGCCAGTCTTCATCCATTGAGGTATTCATGGCCCTATTTAGAGCTTTTCTTACCTTCTTACGTTTTCTATCGAGTTCTTTACCCCACCACGGTTGTTTTACCTCGGCATGTCTTGGTGGAAAATTTGCACTTATTTATATAGTCACATTTGTGGTTGAAGATAGAATTGGTGTGTAAGGTACTTGTATATGCCTAATGTGCCAGGGATACCCTATTTGGTTATATATTACTACAGCATATTGTTGTATAAATATTCCTTGTTTATAAGGGCTGTATGAATATTGATTGTACAAATGTTTTTGTGCATAACATAACCAGTGTAAACTATGAATTGTGTATTATATGTAACATTTAGTTAATAAAATGTTGTCTGTTTCAGAATTTAGATGAGGAGCTAGAGATTTTGCAGCGTAGACGGGATCTTTTGCAACGTGAACAAGCATTACTTGTTAATGAGCAGATGTTTAGCAGAAAGGTACATGAAATAGATTTAAGCTTATGGAATAATAATAACAATTTTATTAGATTGTCAAACATAAGAATTGATTCTCTTATCTATGGTCTATATGGATCCATTTCAATAGTAAATATAGAGAAATATTAAACTTATAATATATTGTGAATTATTCTAGGTTGTTATAGTTTTAAATTAAATATCCATTATTTTTATTTTAGTTGTCAAGTAATTAATTAAATTTTAACTTTCAGTGACTTAATTCTGTAAACAATAAATCTATACAAATAAATAAAATTGAAGTGTCTGTTCGTAATGTCAAAATACCAGCTTTTTACTAAATGCATATGAAAGTGTATATGGTACTTATAACAAAAACACAATTTTTTAAATTTTTGTCTGTCTGTCTGTTTGTTTGTTCCGGCTAATCTCTGAAACGGCTGGACCGATTTCGACGGGACTTTCACTGGCATATAGCTGATGTTATAAGGAGTAACTTAGGCTACTTATATTTTATAAAAATAATTGGGATTCCGCGCAACATAATTAAAACCCTAAATTACACGCGGGCGAAGTCGCGGAGAACAGCTAGTTTAGTAATAAGTTGAAGTTAACCTTTAGTGTGTAAGTAAACAAGTAGAATAGTATTTTTCTATATTTTGGTGTTAAGTTGATAGGCTTGGCTAATCATTTCACATACAAACAATATATGATTTAGTTAAATGCATAAGTTTAGCAAAGCATTAAGTTCAGAGTCAATGTGTTTGAAAACTTTTTTGAAAAAAACGAAACTACAGTAACATTTGTTTAAGAATACTTGAATAAAAAAATCCAGTAGCGAATATTATTATATATCATTTTAATTTTGGTATTTCTAATGAACTTTGGGCAGAAGTAATTAAAGGATTCTTCTGACATCTGTAGTGCAGAGAAATACTTTTTTTTCTTCTGCTAGTCCATGAAACAAAATTGCACTTGAGTCATATTCATCTTCTCACCCCCAGTCTTTTAGGTATTTTCGCTTCACAGATTATTTCATCCTTTAAAATCTCACCACAAATTAATTCACTGAATTTATGACAGGAAGCCTAACAAGAATTCATTGTTGATAATGTGTAAACGCTTACTTAAAATTTAGTTAATTACTTGACTACTTAATACATATAAATTAGCCTTTATATATTTTTTTATATTATTCTAAGCTTAACTACAATCCTTCCTGATGGTAAGTGGTAATGTAGCCTAAGATGGTGAAGCGCACTGACTTAACAAAAGCCTATTCACTCTTGCCTTGAAGACACCCACATTGTAATCGGATGGAAACACAGATGCTGGCTTATTCCACTCCTTTGGTGTATGCATGATAAGCGATGTAGGAAACCGTTTTGTTCAAATGCGTGGTAAGTCAACAACGAAGGGGTGGAGACAGGCCGAATGTCTGGTTGTCCGATGGTGGAAGGGAAAGTGAGGAAAAGGGGCCTTTAGATGCAAACATAAAATTGTGTATTATTGTCATCGTCTTCCTGACAACAACTCGACAAAAAACTCCCATAGACAAATACCAAGCGTGACAAATATCCTCCTATGAGGCAATTTATGTTGGAGACTGCTCAGCTGTGGTGTGTTAATTTTAATTAATATAAAGTGGTTTATGTTACAAGTTGCTGCTAGAAAACTGCAAAATGCTGGGAAAACAAACATTAATGTGGTTAATTAGAGAAGCAGTGGTAGTATTGACTAAAAATAATGGTGCATATATAACTAGTTTGTGTGACTGAGAGCAGATGTTTGAAGTCACGTTCATTGCATTAATTCAACACCAAACAGACCAACACTGTCTCAGTCTGCTTGAAATCAAGTCTCAATCATCATCAGAGTCAATCTCATCAAGCTAACAAGGAGCTTAAACACAGTCAAGTTGTGATTAACTAGTAGATAATAAGTGGAAAATGGTCTGTCAGCACGATAAGTGGTCTTATGACACACAATATTATTTTTATTTAATTTTTTTATAGAATTAGGGTGACAAATGAGCACACAGTCCACCTGATGGTTAGTGGTTTCTGAGGCCAATAGACATCTACATCCATATTCGTTTACGAATTAAAATGCAGATGCGTTGTCAGCTGTGAGGACTAAGATGGAATGTCTCTTTTCTAATAAAAAGGGTCTCCGGTTCTCTACACTCACCATACGAAACACAGCAGCGTTAAGTTGCTATTTTACGCTCGTATTCGGTGAGAGTTTTTTATAGATGGGTTAAACAAGCATGTGGCTCACCTAATGAATTGTCGACCGTCGCCCATGAATAAACGGAGGAATTGCAGGTGTGTCGCCTTTTAAAAAGGAGTAAGCTTGAAAGTCCCTAAGTCGTATCGGCTCGGAAAAATCGCCGGTAGTTGCTGATTCCACAAAGAAGTTGTGCAAGGAATAAAACTCCTAGTAAATTACACTGTTATGAACTGTCAACTTTTATTCTACACATAGCAAAATATTGACTGAATGGTGTTTAACAGAATATACAAATAAATGTAATGAGATATTAAACAGAGGTACCCCAGAGATACCCTTCATTTTAATATATTGGTATTGTGTTCTAGCAGCATTATCAATGTATATTGTATTTGTTCTTTAGCTTTAAAGTCTATCAATAGTTTTTAACTTATGCATTACGCAGTAAATGTGCCAGAATATTAATTGACAATCACATATAAAATAAATTAAAAAACCATTTAATCTGTGTTATAGCCAAGGTTCTTTTTCCAGGAATATCCCTAGTCCAATCAAATCCCTAATTCCTATTATTTTTTTATGTGCGCCTACTTTTAAGTAATGGTATGAGAGGAGTTGGAGAATAGAGATTTACAAGTTCTATTACTTGTCTAGAATACTCTATATTTCCTTTCTTCCTACTATTACTTAAAAATATATACCACAACACCATTTCTACAACAATTTCTTATAATTTTCAGAGGCAGTATGAAAATGTACCACACTCTCAAAACTTTACTCCATTTAATCAACAAGCCGCCCAATCTTTCTCTCACTTATATGACAATGGTCCTGGACCTAGCTTTAATCACGGTGGTGGTGCTAAAAAACGTCATACGATCAATGTTTGGGACAATGATATGCTCAATACCAATTTGAACTCAAATAATCAGAGATTTAGACCCTATATGGGTCCAAAACCTCAACCAGTGAGTGCACCAAAACCCCTCATGAGTATCAAACCAAGCATAGGCCACCGTATCCAAGGATTTTCTCAAAATGCTCGCAAAAATTTCAATCCAACTAAGGTGACTAAACCTAAGGGTAAACCGCAAAACAAGGCCAAGCCCAGCCATGCCAATGCGGCGTCATTGAAAAAAGCTTTGGTAACCTCTAAGGAGAAACCGAAGGAACCGGAGGTCTTGCGTGCCGATCAAGTGCCTTCCAAGCAAATGACCGGCCGCTTGGAGCTAGCGCTGGGCGCGATATTGAAAGAGATGAGACAAAGTTTTTGCACTAGCGAAGAATGCACGTTGTTGTTTAATGCTAAACATATTCAGCGTGTAATCAAAAACTTAATCCGCAAAAGGCTAAGAGATCTTATGCTCAACAAAGTCGTCGGACGGTTTGCCGAAATTGTCGCTTTATACCGTGAGAATTTTCCACAAAAGACCGACAAGGAAATTTTCGATTCTGCTGTAATGACTTCAGGTACAAATGTTTTGTTTATTTGAATTTTCATGACTCATTCAATGTGTAAATAAGATCGGTATGATAAAACATTGAGTGTTTTGTCATACCTGGTTAGTATTCAATATTTTAAAAGTAATCATTACTGACCAAGAAAGCTTATCTATGACTAAAATGTGATGGAGCTTTCTGAATAATCTAAGAAAATTTTATTTGCTGTTTAAAATTTACACATTTTTATTGAGTCATTTACAAAAGGAATAGTGAGGAGTAAGTTATATTGCTAAAATTAGCAAGTTGCGGAACACTACCGTCCCTCCAACAATTATGTAATAACCTTTATATATTTTTCTGCCAAGAAGGTTGTTGGTTCAGACTGTATTTTGTTGTCTTTAATGTATGTTACACAATGTCCAAAGTTAGTTAGGAAATTTGTCAGGATATCATTTAACAACAGAGTATTCTCTGACAAAGGTCACTTGTAAAGTTCCATAAGATTCAATAATAGTTGAAGCCAGTTTTTATTATAAAATAATTATGGTATATTAAGCTGTTTGTTCTGATTCACTATATAGTATGTTGGTTGTGTCATAAACGTACATTTTAACGTTTTACACACTCCATCCAATGAAACCCTAACTTTGGCTGCTTTAATTAAATTCGACCTGATTACTTATTTCCAATTAACAGCTAAACAGGATAATCAAATAAACTTAAAATAAAAAAATATCCCGTTTACTTTGTATTTTGTTTTAGTACTTATTTCTAAACTGTAAAAAAACTATTTTATTATTGATACATCAATATTTTTTTTTCATATAATGTGCCGATGAAATAGTAATTTTCAACATATAGTATTGTTTCACTCGCATTATGTTCATCAAATCTTTTTTTAGTTCACTATCCAGATTTTCCAGAATATTTTGATAACATAGTGTTTACAATTTAAACACTAGTGAAGGATTATATAATTATATTGACAACCGTTTAATCAGTCCAGGTTGCTAAGTATTATATGCCCCTGAAATGAACTTTGAAATATACTTTTGAAATGTTAAAACACTACTTATAACATTAGAATTTTTCATATTGTAATATGTTATTTTATTTTGGGACGGCCGATTATATAAGTCACAGATAATGTGTTGCATTATATATTATACATTTCAGTAAAATAACCTTTATTTTTTTTATTTTAGGTACAAATGAGAAATATATGAGATATAGTGTTAATAGACTAATGACAATGAAATTGGATGAAATGTTCATGAAGGTATGGTATATCTAAGTTTAAACAAACTATCAACTTCATAAAATATAGTTTCAGATGATTTTATATATACATATATATTTTTTGTAGCTGCAAGAATTTTACGGAGGTAATAGAGATGAGGGAATTGCAAAAATTATTGAGTCCCGTCCGAGCAGCGTTACGGAAATACCTAAAGATAAAGACAAAGATGAAGCAACAATGACTCTAGAAAGACAATTTTATGATACATTAGTAGACACGTTACTCGAGGTAAAATTGCCGAAAGTCCTACCGAATTACACCGAAGTAAGTAATTTAAGTGAAATAAATATTATAATGTATATATATAATACAAAAATGGTAATGTTTTATTTTATTTATCATATTAATGAAAAACAATTCTCTTAATTTTTTAGAGAATAATAAAATTATTAGAAAATGACGAAGAAATAAAAAAGGCTAAACAGTTGGCTAAGAAAGCAAGTCAAAACACCAATGACGAATCTGCTCCAATCGAAATAAATGACAGTGAAACTGAAAACGAGGAGGTAAAAGCCCAACCCACAAAAAATTCTGACAATACAGAAGATGAAGAGGGACAATCCAAAGAAAGTAGTTCTGCTACAGAACAAGCAAATAATGGGGAAGGAACTCAAATTGATGAAACTAAAAATGATAATGACGGTGTTGAAACAAACACTGCTAAAACTGGTTCAAATGTACCTACTGAACCGATATCTATAGCTTCTCAATACTTTGTGAAGGTAAGAAAATTGTTTCATTTTCATTTTTCATGTTAATATAATATGAGTATTTTTAACATTTTATGTGACGTGGGCAGGTATTTGGACAGCCAATTCTCCCTAATAGAGCTGATGCATATAAATTCCTAAATCAGTTCAACGCTGTAAGCATAAAGAAGCATAAAGTTATTCAAAATCTATTGGTGGTAGAATTTAAAAATGAGAAAGACTTGCAAAATGCAATAGCTAACAGCGGGGCCGTTGTAGGTAAGGAATATAGATTTTTTTTTGGAAATCTAAAAATATTTTGGAATTTTAGAGCAAAATAACATATTCTTTATTTTCAGGAAGTTCAAAACTTATAATAAAGGCAAATGAAAATCAGGAACACAACACTTCGTCTTCATCTCTAAAAGATGATGAAGCAGGTAAAAATACATCCACATCAAAAGAGATCATAACACCAGACCTTGAAGATCAAATTAGTGATTTGCTTTCGTCTATTCGTAAAGCAGATGAAGAACAAAGAAGTGATAACATTAAAACTGAAGACATATCGCAAGAAGGAAAAGATATCAAAGAAGTGAAAAAAGAAACGCAAGGAACTAACGTCTACTCTCCTAGCAATATGCATGACGAGGATTCTCAGGGTCTGGAAACAATTCAGGAAGACGCAGAAAACAAAATCGCTGAAGATAACAAAGCAACCCCCGAAAATGCTTCTGAAGATCTAGAAACACAAGGCGATGGAAATGACAAAGCCATAAAAAATAAAGAAACTGGCAAAGGCACACCAATGAAGGCCACTTCTCGTCTGAGTAATGTTACACCCAGTGCTATTAGAACTAGACGCGCCAGCAGACTTGCGCAAAATAATTAGACAGGGGCATGATGTTATACTTTTTAGCTATTGATGTTTCTCTTACACTCATTGATGTTTTTACCATGGTTACATAATGTAGCTCATTTTAAATTTAATTAATTAACACAATCCCTTTGTTAAGTGACAAAACGAATGTATTAAAAAATTTGACTTATTACAAGTGTACAAAATAAGTGCTGTGTGTATTATTTTATATTTTCCCCAATCATGTTTTTTTTTCTGTCAAATTCAAGCATTTAATTTTTAGATACTCTATTACGAATGTAGATTGTGAACCCTCTTGAAAATTTCCAAAGCATAATAAAAGAGGTTCCTTGTTCTTGTTGGATTGAAGTGGCCAAGCGATTTAAAAAAAGGAAATAATAAAATAGATAAGTTGATTTTTTTTTACAAAACTGAATCGAAAAGCGAACAGACTACCTGATGGTAAGTGGCTAGTGTAGTCCATGTATACCTGCAACCAACTTCAACAAGAAAGGCTACACATGGACATGTGTTTTTACCTTCGATGGCTAAGTGGAATGCCTGTAATACTGGCTTAACCGATTCGTTGCGGCACCAATTTTCGACAACTTTTAGCTGTGGCGGCGATCAAATATTTCATGTCACGCCGAGCGTGTCAAGCGCCACAGACAACACACCTATTGTGCCATCCGCCATGTGTAAAAGTAATGTTCTTTTTTATGCTTGTTTTACTTGTTTAGACCTAATTAAGTTTATTTGACATCAAACAAGTTACAAATGGAAGGATACTTATTTTTAGTGGGTAACTACGTGTTAATTTACGTGTTTTCTTTGAAATTGAGAGAAAGTGACTTTTTTTATGAAGAGATTAAAAATCTTTTGTACTACTTTTTGTTGTTATAAAAAAATCATTTATATAAGTTGGTACAGTTAAATCACCCTGGAAACCTTGGTTTTTATTAAATTAAATTTTCACCTAATAATAACATTTGTAAATATCAAACAATGAAGAACCTTAATTTGAAAAAAAAAATAAGGTATATTATTCATTGATATTTACAAATGTTAAATATTATTAATGTTATACAAATGTAAAAGTAAAGTCGATCTGAAAACGTCTAATTAGTAAGAATAGCAAAACAAGTATTTTCAAAAGGAAAAAAACGGCGGTGGATTGACAAAAGACTATTTATTAGCGAACTTTTTTTATGCATGAACGGTTTCGAACTGTTTCAAGCAAAACTAAACCCTATACCATATCACAAGAGCACATGGTACTTCGTAGGTCTATTCGGCCATATGATAGTAATAAGACGGCAGTTCAACCATTTTAAGCAAAAATTTTTTTTATAGGATCGGGTGACAAACGAGCACACAGTCCACCCGATGGTAAGTGGTTACTGTGACCCATAGACATCTACATCTATCCTCAATAAAGACTCAAGATGCAGATGCGTTGTCACCCGTGAGGACCAAGATGGAATGCCTCTTTGCCAGTTAAAAGGGTCTCCGGTTCTTTACACTCACCATACGAAACACAGCAGCGTTAAGCTGCTATTTTACGCTGGTTTTCTGTGAGAGCGTGGTCCTTCCCCGGTCGAGCTGACCCATTCGTGCTACAACCATAATATAGCTGCAGCATGGCTCTACCATGCATAATTAAACAATAAGACAAACGCTTTAACAGGAGACTTCTTTTCCAGAAATTTATTTACAACTCGAGTTTGTGAGCGATCGCAATGAGTGCTATTATTTGTTACTTATTAGACAATTTTTCCATAACATGATTTAAAACCCACAAAGTAAAAATAGTACCATGTGCAGGTTAAAAAAAGGTTGTCAACCCTTAAAAATTTCAAATTTTCAAAATATTCAGAAACGAAGCTGCATGCATGAACTACTCGCAAAATAATGAATATTTTGTTCTGGATAAATTTTCCAAAATTGATTTTTAAAATGACACGACTCGCGTGTCATACGCCACACACAAAAGTAATCGATGGCACGTCTGGCGTGTCACCCGCACTGAACCGGTTAACTTCAGACAGCAGTGCAGGCACTGCTATTTTGTGGCAGAGTGGAGGAAATAGGACTGGTTAGATGTGACCTACTCAGTCTGTTGTGACAAATATTCAACTGTGTTCGATATTTAACTTTCATATGTGGTAGAGCCACGCTTCAGTCGCATTTTATACGTAGTAGAGCTACGCCGCAGCTATACTTTACATATGGTGGAACTCCGATGCAGCTATTTTTTATACGTGGTAGAGCCACGCTGCAACTAAGGTTGTAACACTAATAGGTAGGACCGCGCCCTTCTAGAATACCAGCGTAAAATAGTAACTTAATGCTACTGTGTTTCGTATGGTGAGTGTAGAGGAACTGAGATCCTTTTTACTGAAAACGAGGCATTCCATCTCAGTCCTCAGAGATGACGCATCCGCATTTTATTTATTTATTCTTTATTGCACTAAATATTTGTACAAAAGAATTTTGTAAATATGTCTATGGGCCACAGCAGCCACTTAGAATTATTATTCGTATTAAATGAAATATAAAAATGTGCAAATATGGTTTACTGTACTGTTAATAATAGAACAAATAAAAATATAATTTACCCAAAGACTAGGTAAGTAGTAACTTGACTATAATTTATTATTTTTAATGTGGTAAATATAATATATTGCCGTCGTAAGAAAAAAAAATTTTTTTGAAAAAATGAGTTAAATATACCATTCGACTCAAGATAAAAAGGCGCATCTACTCAATTTTTTAATATTCAAAAATATCAATATTTTAGAAAATATCGTAAGTTTTAGACGTAACTGTTGATCACAGATGACATTTTTTTTAGTAGAAAAGACGTATTCAAATCCAACATAAAAGAAAAAACTTATTTAACCAGTTGCTACGTCATCTTTAACAATATTTGCATCGATTACTTAAATGAAAAGACGCTTTTGGTATCTTGGTACTCACAGTGAATATAATAATTATAGGTTAGGCGCAAATGACATCGCGTTTTTATATTTCAGCAGACCGGTGCAAATTAATTAATCTTTTTTTTTAATATGCCGTGGTCAGAGCAAAGGATTTTTATAAGACATTTATAATAAAAAAAATTGTACAACCGACTTCAATATATATATTATTAAGAGTAACTCAAAAAACTATTGGTCAAACCTTGATCAAATTATATGGGACCACAAGAGAAGCACCAGCTTTCAAATAAAAAAAATAATCATCGAAATCGGTTTACGTGGAACAAAGTTGTGAGGTAACACATAAAAAAAAACACACAGTCGAATTAAGTACCTCCTTCTTTTTGAAGTTGGTAGAAAATACTTCTACGACGCAACCAAAAGACCCAAAATAGGTGAAAGAAAACTCAACAGACAAAATACTATTTCTTACTTTTAATGGATAGTGCCGGTACTAAATTTAATGTCTGTAAGACATTTTTATAGAAACTTTGGGCTAATGAAAAAGTTGTCAGAAATTCCAACCTCGAATCCACGGGCATATTTAAATGACCTGTGTGCCAAATTATTTTCGCAGTGGTAATCAACACAAGCTTTTTTATAAAACAAATTTCGATGGTGATGAACATTCACTGGATTTCTTAAGGTTCTTTCTGCTCCCTAACAAAATTTTACTTTCAGAGGTATTACACCTAAACGAAAAAATAAAATAATTAGGGAATTAGGGCCACTCATGCCGGAAAACAGAAGTGTTTGGGCAAAACTTGCCAGTGAATGATGATGCGGTTGATCTTACAAAGAATTATGAGTAGTGAACGTACAAATCTTCTTAATTTTATAGTTAAGGGTATTTTGACCTCACATTTTTAAAAAGGCCAAGGGTAGCTTCAATATCTGTTTAGCTTTAAGTGACAAATATCTGTGATACTTCTCTTTTATAGTATTTCTTACAAGACTAAAGCTGACAGAATGATTTAGTATGTGGTATTTTGGACTATTACAGTTTTTAGGTATATTTTAGTCACGTAATTGTTACTCAACACTTATGATAATTTAGAAAACCACAGAAGGGAAATTATTTAATTTCAATTTACCGGTTGCAATAACAATAAAAGTGTGGTACAAGAATAATTAATAAGTAAATGATTAAATAATAGAGGTATATAATTTGTTTCGGCGTTTTGAAAATAATTTGTGTTCCTTTTAGTTTTTGGTTTTGTAATTATTAGTAATTGGTCTAATGTGCAACTATTCGTAAATATTTAGCCGCTTTTCTACCGACTTCAAGCAGGAGTAGGTAGGTAGTCAATTCGACTGTATGTTTTTTTTGTGTCTTACCTCATTACTTATTGCTACTTGAAACGATTTCGATTATTCTTGTTTCATTTAAGAGCTGGTGTTTCATATGTGGTCCCATATAAATTTGATCTAGGTCAGACCAATAGTTTTTGCGTTATCCTTAATTATTTATATTGAAATCGGGTGTAAAAAATTTTTATTTATTATCGTAGTAAGTCTTGTTTGATATCCCCTTTAAAATCATTACTCAAGAGTTGCGGGTTGTTATTTTTGTGTCTCACTACCAATCATTTTCCAATATTTACTAAGAAGAAAAGTAGTAAATTACTATTAGCGTCCTTTGAACTTCAAATGACCTTGCCAAAATATGTAAAAATGTTAAATGAATGGCAGTTTTTTTATTTATTAGGTTGGAAAGACGCAAATGGTTTAATATGCGTCTTTCCTTCTAAGTTTTTGTGTTGCCGGATGTATTTTTTAAGCTAAGATCAAAAGGAAAATTCGATTTATTTAAATAAATAAACAAATTATCAAAAAAATAAATTCGTCATTAAAAAAATTCATGTATCATGTATTGATACCTTTTAATATTTTTTTACATCTTATATTAAGCCAGTGCTTGACCACAATCCCACCTGGTGGTAAGTGGTGATGCAGCCTTAGATGGTAAATCGCACTGTCTTATCGTAACAAAAGCCTATTCACTCTTGCCTTGAAGACGCCTAGATTGTATTCGGACGGAAAGATAGACGC